CATTTTTCAGTTGAAAAATTAGCGTATGTTTTGAAAATTTCCAATTTTTGATTGTGTTCAATTAGTCGAGAAGGAGGTTTAGGTGTCAAATCGGCGGTTAGGGTGAGAGGAACATTAACATTGAGTTTTTCTTTCAAATATTTATCCTTACTGAAAAATGCTCCTCATGTATTAATCGAATATCGCGAGCTCTAATAACAATGTTTTGATAGAAAAATTCAGTTTCATAATTTTATGTTCATCATACGCTGCGACCAACAATTTAAGTTTCCCAAAATTTAAAATTTTTAGGACATGCTCTAATCCTTCAACCAGAAAACATAATTTAGAAGAGTTTGACAAAAAAATCTTATAGAACAAAATCTTTTTTATCTGAACCGTATCCCTGATAAACAAAAAAATTTCAGGTAAAAGTGTCACCGTTTTTGAAATATTTAAACTTTTTTTTTAATTTAAAAAAAAAATCGTGCCTTTCTATATATTTCCTTTAACTGCATCTACAAACCAGACTATACTTAGTAAATTTTTTATATAAAATACTTCCAGATAGTTGCTTCTCTATACTCAAATGCAATGTAGTTAAAATATATTAAGGAACCATCATAAAATTAGGACTATTTTGGGATTTTTAACTTTTTAATATTTTCTTCCCCAACTTTGACTATCTCTGGTGAAAAAAAATTTACTGAGCTATAACTTTGCATTACATAATAAAATTGCTCATTTAATAAAGATTTCAGAAAGGTACCACTCTTACTGTTTCGAATAGAAAAAAAAAGTAATAGCCGCTTTTGTGGGTAAAGGACTGAGACCCGCTAGAATGTTAAGTTGCTCTTGTTACCGACCAATGACATGCTAAATAGTACAAAGGTACATTATTTCCTGCTCCTGACATTATTTTATGTTGCTTACCGGAATTCGGACTAGAGTCTACAACAACAATATCTATCAATATTTTTTGTGAAGGATGGGTTCACGTGAAATAAAATATACATGAGTTGTTTGAAGAAAAATGTATTCATTTATTGATAAAGTATGCTCAAATTGGCGACCTTCTACTCTAAGACAAGCTCGGCACCTTTTAAGAAAAGAGGCTTTTAGAGATCTTAAACTCAATTGGACTATCTCAGCAGCAGCTCCATTTATTTGTTCCCGCAAATTCTCTTCGTTTTGAATTGTTTTTGAATAAATTTTGTCCATAAAACAGCCCCAGTAGAAAAAATTTAATGAAGTCAGGTTTGGCGATCGAGCGGACCACGTGATTGGCCCGTATCGTCCAATCCATCGGCGAGGATAAGTTTCGTCTAAAAGAGCTCTTACTTCACGCCCGTAGTGAGCAGGGCACCCGTCATTTTGCAGCCATAGTCTTCGCCGCAGGTTTAAGGGTACATCTTTAAAAAGAGTTGGAAGCCTTTCCTGAAGGAACTCTAAATAACTGTGAGAGTTGAGCGTTGGCGGCAGTTCCACAGGTCCCAATATCTGACAATTAAAAATACCGCACCATAAATTTATTTTAAACCGATACTGCGAACGATCTTCTCTCATTTCGTGAGGATTGTCTATCTGCCAATTGTGAAGGTTATGAAAATTAAAATAACCATCACGTTTGCATGATGATTCATCGCTCCAAATTATTTTATTAAACAAGTTAGGGTCTGATTCATGCATTCGCAACATTTCACGGCAAAATCTAACCCTCGACAGGTAATCTCTTTCCTGTAGAGCCTGAACACGTTGAATGTGGTAGGGATGAAATCGATGGTCTTTTAAAGCTTTGTGGACTGTAGTTTTTGGTATTCCCGTCCGTCTTTCCATCATCCTCACTGAAGTCGATGGACCTAGTTCCACTTCCTCTAACACAACTTCAACATCTACCGTCCTGTTTCGCCGCCACGCCTTCCAGGTATGCGACCTTAAAAAACTGAAAAATGATACTTAACAAGCAAGCAAACAAGAAAGGTGTAAAAATCACTTATCTTCATATATTTCTCTATGGGTCAATCCATTAGATTTTTTCTACTGGGGCTGTCTTATGGACAAAATTTATTCAAAAACAATTCAAAACGAAGAGAATTTGCGGGAACAAATAAATGGAGCTGCTGCTGAGATAGTCCAATTGAGTTTAAGATCTCTAAAAGCCTCTTTTCTTAAAAGGTGCCGAGCTTGTCTTAGAGAAGAAGGTCGCCAATTTGAGCATACTTTATCAATAAATGAATACATTTTTCTTCAAACAACTCATGTATATTTTATTTCACGTGAACCCATCCTTCACAAAAAATATTGATAGATATTGT